ATATACGTGTTCTTGTGTATGTGTGTATGTGCAGCGAGTGGAGTGAGTTGGCGCGCTGGCAGCCCCAAAGACGCGCAAAGGTGAAATATACTAAACGCTGGGCCGTGCGCTGCACTGTGGCATTTATTTCTGTACGAGCCTCGGCTCTCTCGCTGCAGTAGCAACTGCAGCAAGGAGGTACCACACAACAGCAGCCCAACACCCCAACACACACACACACACACACCCAAATAAGTACACTGAGACTCAGGCTCGCAAACTTTTCATTTCGTTCGGCGTAAAGTAAACTGTAAACTGCGCTGCTCTAATGCTGAAGCGCAACTGTCAGCTGCTCAACGCTCGCACACAAAAGCTAACTGAGCAGAGTTCAAAAAAGAGAGAGAGACGGAGAGAGAGCGTAAAGCTGCTAGGTGGCAAAGCTTTTGCCTTGGCGCCCACACGCACACACACGCATAAACAGCAGGAAGCAGCGCTACTGAAGCTTTCGCTTTGCAGTTCTGCCGCCTGCAGTGGAATTTATTGTTGCTTTAACTAAGTTTTTGTTTTTTTTTTTAACAACTTGTAGTTTTTGCTGTCGTCGCATGACGCAAATGTAGTCCGGGGGCTGCGCTCATGCCACACAAAACTACAATGTATAACAAGCTGTCTCTCACGTTTGAGTTGACGCCGCCGTCGCCGTTGCCGCTGCTGTCGCTGTCGCCGTCCACTGGCTTTACGCCCTCTACATAGATATGTAGCGCTGTCTCGCTTGCACATGACTGCGCCGCATCACTCGCACACAAATTTCTCATGTCAGTTGCATTTTGCATCGGGCGTTAATGTTCAAGGTGATTTACCTTTCTGTGTGTGCGAGAGTGAAGGCGGCTTATCATGTGTCACACTTTTGTTAGAGTCACCCTGTGTGTGTGAGTGTGTGTTTGCGCACATTCCGCAATTATGCGAAATTATCGATCAAATTTTGTTCTAAGGTCAACTTAAATTGAAAATTAAGTTTTATATGTGTGCATTTATGAATGTATATATATATACATATGTATATATATACTTTATATACTATATATACTATATATACGTATTGTGAGGCCAGTCGCTATCGCTGTTAATCTTGTCGTGCATGACTAAAACCATTCCGTGTCATTATTTAGAGTTGCGTTTAACTACCTACACATGGAGAGGAGAGTGTAATATACATATATATAAAATAGTATATAGGGAAAATAGCTTGAGTAGTATATTTCATGTGAGATTTTGTGGCATGTTTGCAAAGTTAATGGAATATATATTGTTAGGTAGGAAACGCAAAGAGAAACTGCAAACTTATACATGTCTTATCTAATGCTATGTATATGTCTTATCCCCAGCCTTTCAATAATCTTTTTGATTGGTCATGACACAAAAAATATATGAGTTATCGGAATTTGAGGTTTACCTCTTCAAGATTTACAAACGCGTATTGCTTTATAAAAAAAAAAATTGTTTCAAGAGTTACCTGAGCTTTAAACAAAATAAATTAACAGGAAAAAAATAATAAAAAAAATTATGTTAGAAAAGAGTTTAAGCATGAGTTTAATTCATGGTGTAGGTTTTTCATCATATCTCAAAAGTTTTTTTCATTCAACATCTTAGAAAAATATACAATATGTTTTTCTTTTAAGACGCTTTGAATAATCTCCATATGGACAGAACATAACGAAATATATTTTGTATGCGATTCTTATTTTTTTTTTTGTGACATTAACTCAGATATATTGGCTTTGGTTTCCTGTTTTCCTAAAACCTATCTATCTATAAGTTCACAAATAAAAAATTATAAAACAAAAGTTAAGAAGAAATTACCAATAGATCGTAACTTTTATTTTATTGCCTAATAGAAAATCAAGTACAAACTAGTGTAACCTAGGTCAAAAATAAATAATCTTCTAAAAAACGAACATCATATTAGAACATTGAGTAATAAATGGATCAATTCATTAGTCATTGATATAGGAAAGTCGTTCATGTTTAACAAGAAATATGAGTTTTAATTTCTATTATTGCCATTTTTTTTTCACTTAAAAGCAATTGTTAATAACAAGTTCTATTTGTATTTATTTCTAAAAACAGAAAAAAGTTGCGCTACTTTTTCATTTTCGTATTAATAAATCAAAGGAATACTTCGAAATCAATAGCTTAGCAAATACAGATTTAGTAATAAATATATTTATATATATTAATTAATCAATGGCCAATGCAAAAGCTGTACAAGCACGCGCTGTCAGTGCAAAGTTTAAGAATGCGTCACAAAGAGGAGCTGAGAACTACAATTTGATTCAAAGAGAGCAAGAGAAAGAGAGCTGCAAGTGCTACGATGGATTTAAAAGGGAAATCGAACTGTGTCTATATCTCAAAACTGGTTTCAATGCGAAGTATTGCATAAGATTCGTAGATATAGGTAAAGATATAGACGAGATATAGTTATAGTTATAGATATAGATATAGAACAGATACAGATATAGTTATAGATATAGAAATAGAAATATTTATAGATAAATAAAGAAATAGATTTCTACAACTTGTTCTCTAAATTATCTGCGTCACAATTGCGTAACTATGCAAGCATTTCGTTACTTTTAATTATAAAACATTGCAATTTGTCAAGCCGCAGCTGATTTCATCAAAATATAAAAAATAAACTGGACATGAGGTCATTTTATGGCTTGAACTTTGACGAATTGACAGCGTACACAACTGGGTGGTAAAAATGATATAAGCTAAATATATATATGCCATATAAAGAATCAGGTGAGTCTCTGTAAGACTATTTATTACATAAGCGTCAGACAAATGATATAAATTCTATATATATATATATAAATAAGGGTCAGCATGTGTTGTGGGCCAAGGCAGAGAAAAATCAATTTCACTTTCCTTGACCTCTTGGCAACAACAGCAACAAGAGACAGCAACAAGAGACAGCCCAAAGTCAGTCAACAAAGGATAATTGAGGGTCATTTGAAATGCAAAAGTGACAAAATGCAGCTAAATGCAAATAAATGTCGAAATAATGTCAACGCTTTTGCCAGCCTTTGCTGCACCAGCTACAAATTAGAAAATACATCCAACCCACACACACACACACACACACACCTCTTTCCTCACCCTCCCTCCTTCGCCTTCTGTCAATGAGCCAAAAAGCCGAAAAAGCGAAACGAAAATAGAAAATTTGTGTGCACGCGATTTTCTTCAAACCAATTCGAATTGCAGCCTGAAAATCTCTTTTAATTGTTTTGGCCAACTTCAAAAATAAACAACTAGAAACTGTTTTAGCAGCGAGTGCGCACAATCAGATACCCTGTAGCCAGCCCTGAGCTGCATTTAATTAATTATCATCGAGAGAATTACTTTTTTTTACTTATGTACTCCGATCGAAATCTAAATTTCGGGGCTTAAAAATAGCTGATATTCAAAAGAAATGTGCCTTAAAAAAAGCCAAACTAAAAATCGATATTTATCGATTTATAGATAGCATTTGATTCTTCTTTTAAAAGTGTGCAGTTATCGAGACTCCTCAAAAAGGCCAAGCTAAAAATCAATATTTATCGAAAGCATTTAATTATGTTAACATAAAAATGTTTCTTAAATTTTCTTGAGAGATATTCAAAAGGAAACATATTTATGACGTGTATAGTAATCGAGATATGCACAAAGAAGCCAAGCTAAAAAGCGATATTTATCGGTTTCGAGTAAAGTGGAAAGTTACGCAAAATGGTTATACGAGAACATATAATCAAATTTTACATATACATAGCTAATCGATATTACTCAATACTTATATGTTAAATGGTTTTCTTTATGGTATGTTACATAAAAAGGCACAAGACGATGTAGCCCGTTTAACAAATGCATTTTCAATGGGTAGACAGCGCAGCACAGCAACAAAATTTCCCCCACTTTAATACTACGGACTGTTTTCTGTCTTCTGCTGACTGGCATAATTAAATGTTAATCAAAATTTTTCAGAGCGTTTCTCAGGTAAGCTCGGCGCATTCAAGCGCAATTCGTTTGCAACTTGCCCCTTCATAATGGCGCCCCCCTCCCGCCGGCCAACAAGTCTGAATGAGTGCGTGGAACATTGGTTTTGATGTGTTGATTGTTACTTTTAAAAATTGGCAATTGAAACAGAACTAAAATCGATATAGAAAATACTAATGTTCAATTGAAGAGAGATGTGTAATAACAATTAAATGCTGAATATAATTATATGCAATTTTTGTTGTAATTTGTGAATTTTTTCACTGATTTTCTTTGCTGTTGCTTACTTAAAATTATTTGCACAAATCTTGCTCAATGATTGAATTTGGGCAAAAGTTGATTTTATTTTATTTTAATTTTTACTTTTTTTCGAGGGTAAATAAATGATAATTTGTTAAACAAAGCTTATGGCTAAGAAATATTTAGTATGGTAAATGAACTTTAAACAAAGTTAATTAAAATACAAAAAATAAAAGAAAATCTAACTTAAAAAGAAAACAAGTTAACAATTTGAACTTGCAAATAAAACCCAAGAATTTGAACACTACTCACCCTGTGGCTGGCTGGCGTTGTTGCAGTTGTTGTTTTTGCAGTTGCAGTTGTTGTTGTTGCTGCTGTTGTTGCATTGGCTGCCAACGGCCACTGGATACCACCAGCTGTGTTCACTTGCTTGCACAATTCAAAGCGAGCACAGGGTGTATCCCAGCGGCAATTGCACTGAAAAAGCTTTTCAGCGAAAGCTTAGCACGGACACAAACCCAGCACGCAGCTACTGCTCTTGCTCGCTTCTGCTGCTGCATTCGCCGTCGTTGTTCTTGTTGTTGTTACTGTTGTTTTTGTGAACACACTTTCTCACTCGTTTCGCATGGAATTTTTCACTAGGTGTTTGGAGAAATTTGTATTTTACAATGCATTTTATACACTCTTTTTTAAAAGCTCAGAGAAATATATTATGGTTTTAGCAGAGACAATTCAATTATATGTATGTGTTTATATATCATTTGTTGTAAATAAATTTAATAATTTATCGTAATTTTTCACACTAACACATACTCAGATTTCTTGACCTTGGTAAATGTTTGTTTTACATATATGCAATATTATTATTCAAGCTGTTTAATGTTACTTTTATTTATATTTATATGATAATCTATACTATTTATGGATTTATTTATCAAATCTATTTTAAATCTCTCAGCTCTACAATTTGCCAGCTGCCCTTGAGCTAAGTCACATCGATTGACGCATATTTATATTTATAATATGCCCAATTTGTACAGTAAAAACGTAGCTTAAGGACAGCAGCCTGTGACGGACATATCCTTTAGCAGGGCAACTTTTTTTATTTGCGAAATATAAACTCTATTGGGAGAAGGATATTTTGAGCGTTAGCGGACACAAGCGTACAAATAACTTTTTAGCGGTCTGAAATATACGGAAATAGGATATAAAAACAAAATGGCGGCAAGAGATATTGAAACAATCCCAAATTTGTAATACTTTCCATTCCAAATAGTAAGGTTTTTAGAAACTTATTTTTGTATTTTTTTCTTCTATTTGTTAATCGAACCTAACCTCACTCACATTTACAAAGCGAACATCTGCGAGAGCTTTTACTGTAAATTTGTTTGAATTTTCAACATATTTCCAAATCATTTATTGAGTTTGCTTTGGCTGAAAGTTCTTTTCCATATTTATTTTTAATGCTCTACAATTTGCCAGCTGCCCTCAGACAAAGTCGCATCGATAAATGCCTATATATGGCATACACATGCAGCTATTTAACTGTAAACATATATATATATATATATATATATATGCATATGAAAATAACTCAACGCTGCTTACGCATCTTGTTCTGTGAGAGTGTGTGTGTGTGTGAAAAGGTCAAAAGCGTAATAAACACAAGACAACAAATATGTTGCATATGCCAAGGCGCATTGTAATAAGGCAATTGTGTGTCTGTGTGTGTGTGTGGTTTGTGTGCACTACATATATTCCTTAAAATTTAATGTCCATATGTTGGTCGAGAATGAAAATAACAATTTGCGTCACATGACACAGTACATAAACTTTTACACACACACACACTTGTATTTTAAGCAACTAATCAATTTTCCACACCTGATTATATTTTGATATTGTTTCCTTTTTTCGGGCAACGCGCACTTATATGGCAACCTGACACATACATACATATATATGAAATGTGTTTTTTTTTCTATTACAAGTATAGCAATGCTGCTCTGTTAGAAGCTGCCTGACCTCGCCGGGAGTGCGCTCTACACTGAAAAACTTTGCGCCTGGCTGGCAGCTGGGAAGCTAGCGTGTAGAAGAAGAAGCAGCAGCATCCTGTCGGCTGCAGTTGTGTTCGCACAGGTGCGCGTCATCGTATCCCAGTAAATATGCAACAGCATTATTTACACACACAAATACATACACACACACATACACATTGATGTACGCAGCGAAAGAGAAAGTGTCGGGCAGCTGGCTTTGGGCATACAACAAAAGCAAACAGTTGGCAGACGTCGGCAGCGACGCAACTGCGCTGCCTTAAGTCACCCACGCAAAAGCTATGCAAAAAGCTTTCGCCTGCTCTCGCATGCTTGTTTGTTTTTATTTTTCTTTTCATATTGGCTTATTTACCTCTCACAACACATGCACAACACAAACAGACATACATACAAACATACATACCTGCTGCTAGCAAGCAGTCCCAAAGCTTAGCCTAGCAGCTCGCTCTTGCTTACGCCCTCGCTGCTCTCTTTCGCTCTCTCCCTCTCTCTGTTGAATTCGTATACGCTCTGCGCTCCACACTTTGGTTGCCGGCATCGCTGTGCTGCTGGCGTCGCTGTCGCGTCAAGTTAAATGGAACACAGCCTTCGGACAAGCGCAACAATAAAAACATTTTCAAGTTCAAGTTGGCCGCTCGCTCAGTGCGCATGTCATGCGCCATTTTTGTTTGCTCGCTCGCTCGCACAGGCACACACACGCACACACACTCACATGCCAGTTGCAGCAGCGGCAGTTGGGTTGATGGAGTGGGGCTGATAACGTCTCTGGTGCACTTTCATTGTTCGTGCTGCTGTTTACCATTTGTTGGCTCTAACGCTGCCGCTGCCGCTGCTCCTGCTGCGGCTGCTTTTTGCTGTCGTCATGCGAAAGCTGAACACATTTTGTGGCTCCTTCCTCTTCTTTTGCTCACATGATTTATTTTGGTTTATTTCCTTTTTTGTCTTTGTGTTTACTTTTATTTCGCAGGCCCTTTTTGTGTTCTATTGTGTGTAGGCGTGTGTTTGTGCTGTCATTGCTGTTGTTGTTTTTGTTGTTGCTGTCGTTGTTGTTGTTGTAGCTGGCTCACTCGCCTGTCGCTAATTAAATTTCAATGCTGACGCTGTTCCACTAAAAATAAATATACAAAAGAGATTGTTTGAAATTCCAAAGGCAAATATTAACTCAACAAAAAAAATAATAATAATCGAAAAATAATATGCGTGTGAGTGTGTGCGAAATAGGGTTTGATTTGCATACTCTTCTTCTATGCAAGGGTTTCTCACACACTTTGCTTTACGATACAAATTTGTTATCGATATATACATATATAAACTTATATGTACATATAAAGTATGTATATGTGAATGTGTTAGAGATGAAGCTCACTTTTCGCAGAATTCGAGCTTTCTCGGTGGAAAATTCATAAGAACTTGATGAATACGTGTTATAGCATTTTGAAAATTCTATCCGCAACTGTGGAAATTTGGCGGCCATTTTGTTTATTATCCTCCTCAAACTTATTTTCAAATATCTTTGTGAGAATTTATTTGATACGCTCTTGGGTGGCACATGCGGGTCAAAGGTTTTATTAACGAAAATTTATCCTAAAGCTTCAAGATCCTTACCGAAAGACTAACATGGGCAGCAACCGTTAAATCCAACACTTGGTACCTAAAACATATTATTAAATAGAAGTGGAGATCAAGATGGGTAGTTTTCAATTTTCCACGGGCGGGTTCTTGGTGAACAGGTAATATCTAATATTTTTAGCACAAAATGTTCCACGGACAAGGCCGGGCAATATGTAAATATTGTATGTGATTTAAGGTGCTTAAAAAACACACGTTTTTAATATTTACAGTGAAAGCTTTCTTACGCGGAAAGCTTTCTTAAGCGGAAAGCTTTATTTTCAGCGTTTTTGTCCGGATAAGCCAATGTGTCCACTTAAAAGATACATATGTACATAGATATCAGAAAAAATGCCTCAAAACAAAGACGAAAGGGTTTGTTAACTTTGGATATTCGTTTGTTTTAGGATCCGACATGGTTGGAGAAAAGAGCTGCTTGTGAAACTTTCACTGAATATAAGAAACTTTTTAGTTAAAATCATAAATAACATTCTATAGCATACTATTATAACATAGATTAAATGTAAAATCTTTCAGTTTACGTAATTTTTTAAAATTTAATTTATATAATTTTTTTTCGAACTACTATAAGTAACAGCTAAGATTTAGCTTTTAACAGCTAAGATCTATATATCTGTTGCTCATTGTATTTGTTCAGTTTTAGTTGCTTAAATACAATTACTAAAAATCTAAGAGTAGTTTTCCAATTTTAAATTGCAAATTTACTTTTCTAGAGCATTTTTACAATTCCCTATCCAAGGTCTACAAAATTGCAGTGCAACGAACTCGAAAACTATGCGAAATGCAAGTAATATAGTTAAAATGTTTGGAATTCATTTTGCCAATAAAACGCAGTACTAAAATTATATGAAGCACTTTTTTTTGGCAAATTGCCTGGGAGCATTTTTTGAGCAGTGCAGCTATTGTAAGGAGGGGCTATAGGGGGGAGGGGCAGGTGTGAAATCGATTTTGAGTGTCGAATATGCTTTTTGTTGCTGTAAGCTAAAAAATCCATTAAGCCGACACGGCGCCAGGCGTTTAATTAAATGAAGAGCTTAGAGTGCTTGTTGTTGTTTCTGTCAGTGCAGTTGGCGCAAGGGAGGAAGCGGGGTTGGGGCGATTGCAATTGCAGACGTGCAATCGTCAAAATCATTTCAATTAAAGCTCCGAGAGAGCGAAAAGACAAGAGTGCGCGACAGATACGATAATAAAATGAAAATGGCATAAGGCAAAACAAAAGAAGTGCGAACAAGTGTTGAAAAGTCAAAAGCAAAGCCGACGGCGAATTTAAACCTAATAACTATTATTTGCTTTTCAACGCAAAGAGCGGTAAAGAGAAAGAGAGAGAGAGAGAGTGGACAGCGCGCGGGTGAAGAGCAGAGTGCACAACTGTAGTTGCTAAAGTGTGCGTATTTTTTACTATTTGTAATCCGTTTCGTTAAATTTTGTGTTTGATGCGCGTTGCTTTTTGGTTGTGCTTTTCGTTGGCTTCCTCTTCCTCTTTGTTTGACGCTGCTCTCGTTTTGTCTCTTTATCGTGCCCTCTCGCTTTGACCTGCTGTCTCGTTTCTCGCTTGCGCGGCGAAACGTGCCAAACTGGTTTATCACACATTTACACACACAAACGTACGCTGTGGCAACTATTGCCTATTCGCTCGCACCCGCTGGCCGCATGTACAACTAGTATCTTAACCTTGAACTTGAAACACATACCCGCCGCCGCCACCTCGACACACTGAATGACAATAACAACAACAGCAATAATGACGACGACGACGACGACGCTGCTAACGCTGACGCCGATGCCAGCAGCGCCGCCATCACCGTACAAGCATTTTGGCTTTTTATTTTTGCTGCGTTCTTCTTTTCACTCGTGCCATGTGTTTGCGCTTTATGATGCCTGTGTATATATGTATGTATGTAGATATGTATATGTCGTGTGTGTTTGTATTTAGCGTGTTTTCAGCTTTCTTCATAATATTGTATAAAGTGTTCGCACTTGAATTTGTTGACTGCGCTATCGATTAGTTTTTTTTATCAATAAATTTAATTCTAACGTTGTTAGCAATTATCAATGTGAACTTTTCCTGTAAATTTCCCAAGCACAGTTGCCACTTTTGCTGCAAAAGTACCACAATTGGTACTTTATTTATTTAATGGTTCCTACAAACAAGGCATTCATGTAGCTAAGTAAATTACATTTTTGTGGGAATAAGAATTGAATTGGTAAAGACTTCCAAAAAAAAATGGCATTTGGTTCCTATTGCCGTAACATTTCATTATATTAGATGGCAAGTATTCCCTTTTATGGAGAAGAGTTTTGTTTGATTTTTGAATAAAATCGCTGTTATCGATAACAAACGATATTTCCCTTGTATGATAATGTCACAGATGTTTTTCCACTTTGAATACAATCGCTGTTATCGATAACAAACGATAGTTCCCTTGGATGGAAATTTCCCAAATACTCTTTGTTCTTCCACCTTGAATACAATTTCTTTAATCGATTACAAAAAATACTTCCATTGTAGAAAATGTCCCAAATGCTTTCTGTTCTTCCATAAAAATATGATAAATGCTTTTTAGTCTTGCATTTTGCATACAATCGCTGTGATCGATAACAAGCGATAGTTATATTTTATGACAATAAACGATAGTTTTGACAGTGTGTACTTATTGATGTCTTGTATGTAAAAATCCGTTTTGATGACGCCACTTTTTGCGGTTATCGCAAAAAGCGCAAAAGATGACGTCCCCCAGGTCCCCTTCCCACGCTAGCTCCCCTCCTGTTGCTCTGAATTCGCATGCCGAATGTTACGTAAACGTTTTCCAAATCTCACAGCTTGCGCAAACAAAAACACAACACGCAAGCAAACTTGACTCAAAGTTTAGATATAAATACACACACACACAGAGAATGCCGTACTTATTTCTGTGTACTTGTTGTTGGGTTTTGCGGTCTCCCAGCTAAAGGTAAGACGGGCAGGCGGGGTAAATGTCTCAATTCTTGATTGCGAACCTACGAGATACAAATACATACGTGTGTGTAGATATGAACATATATCTGTATGCATATGCATATGAATACATGTACAGATGTATCTGTTGATGAGTGGGCAGCCAGCGAATGCATCGCAATACATTGCACTTCATTGTATTATTCATATCTGGTATATATACTATATATACATATGTGTATATATCGAATTTAGTGCGGTTTACTATTTCACAGAATTGTTTAACAATAGTCATTTCATATTTATATAATAAGAGCGATTGTTAAGAGACAACAGCTCGAAAAACAGTTGGTCAATTAAAAGGCTGTTAAACTTTGACTAAAGTCACGTGATGGGTTATTATAGAATTAAAAATAATATTAAAAAACGCCCAAAACAGGGCGTTGTGCATGTGTTATATATCTCCAATTACGTATTCCTCAATACAGTGAAAACTCTCTCCAGCGAGCAGCTGCTATCGCCAGTCTTTTTGTACTCCTAAGTGAGATGCCCGCTTAAAAGAATTCTCTTAGAATTGGAAAGAAAACCTTCATTAAATGAAACTTTTACAATTTTTCCTACATTTCTTTGTTTATAACCAATCAAAAAATAATATTAAGCATTAGGAATAATCTATAATTTATTACTTTTTACAGATTAATTCATGTCGAACCTGAACTCGACTCTGACATGCACGCCGTACTTTTTTGTTGCTTAATGCTTGTAATTCTCAACTGGTTAAGGATTCGAAGAGGGGATTAGGCGTTTGCAATCACTGAGTTGATAGCAAAGACTGCACATCATGGAGATGGGGTGATTCTTGAAATAGCTACAAGGACTGCCTTTCTTATGTATGTATATAACTAGTTTTTTGTTGGACTTTAGTTAAACAAAATACAACACTGACCTTGAGCCGACCCGTTTAATATTAGCATTTATACGGAAAAGGTCACTAAATCTAACTGTCAGAAGAAGCACAAATTAACTAAAAAATACTGGATCAAGTTATCTTGAAAAAAAAGGTTGTCTCCTTTTATGCGTTAAGCATTTCAGTTTTTGTATTTTCTATCCAACGGAGAATAGCTGAATAATTCGTAAATTCGAGTATATTTTGGAATTTGCAGTTGTGATCGACTGAATTATTAATCTTCTTAATTTTGATATTGCATAAGGAAAGAATTATTATATAATAATTTTATATATTACTTATCCCACAGTTTTTAACATTTAAAGATAGCCAAATCTCGCAGAGTCCATTAAATGGAGCCATTACTTCGAGGCCGTCTTATTTGACCTTTGGATAAAAACTTTGCGACGCTTAGGTTAATCAAATCAAACTGATCAGCTGTTTATTTAGAGAAGCGCTTCTATTGCCTTTCATATGTTACCGACAACTGATATTTTCTTACGGAATCGCAGAATGTTAAGTATTTAAATGTTAGAAATGTTGAGCATATTGGATATAGGCTGTTATTTTCTAGTTGTAAGTACTTGAGTTATTGTTTTGAAACTGTTATTTTAAAGAAATTAATTGTGGTATTTTAAATGCATAAAAATTTTTAACTAAATTTCATTTATTCTACAATTTCATTGTATATTGTTGCTAGTTTTTTTTTCACTTTTGTTTAAGATAAAATAAGTTTTTCATTTTTTGCATTTTTAAGAAATTCAGTTTTTAGTTTTAGTGAAAACACTAATTTGTATCTAGGTTTTTTTTTACTTTTGTATAGATCCCGAAATTGTGTTATTTATTTAACTATAAGATATATTTTAAATAAATTCTTAATTTTTTTCACATTTTCACTGCAGCTATAAATTAAAGAGAAGACATCAAAAGTGTTGGAAAGCGTAAACGGAATGACGTTTTACAGGCGCAGTGCTGCACAATGCCGCGCAAAAATGTTTAAAATGGGGCATTTTGTGCAAATTACAGCAATAGAAAATGTCTCTCACTGTTTCAACAGTTTTGCAACACTGATAATGCGTTTAAATAGCATAATTTTACAATGAATTAAAAAGTACTCAAAAGGACTTTTTTTCGCGCTTATATAAAATGTTAATTTAATTATAATTAAATAATTTAAAATAAATTTAATATAATTAAATAATTTAAAATGAATTTAAAAGCATCTATCACAAATAAATATTCTATTTCGTTTTTGAAAAACAATAAGTTGTTGATATAACAGTTCGAAATTTCGTTCATCATTTTCACAGAAATGGAGTGAACTGCTTACCAGCCTCATATTGCGTTCCCTTCTTTTTTGAGCAGAGTTGAATGTTTTTTTTTATAAACTTTATTTAGCCATGGTGGCCATTTGGCTATTAAATGCGAAATTCTAATGAACAATTGCAAGCTGGCAAGACACACACACGCACACACACATTTAAGATACGCGTAACTTCTAAAGAAATTCATTTTATTGTTTTTTTGCGTTTTGTTGTTCTATAATTTTTTTGCTTTACGCTCATTGTACATACATACATACATACATACATATATACATTTTCAGTTTTTTGTTCTCTTCTATTTTGTTGTTGCTAATTTTGTTTTTAGTTTTCGTTTCTTGTTTGTCTTTTTGTTATTGTTTAAATATGTACATACATACATATGTATATTTTTATAATTCAGCAAATGCGGCAGCGGCGGCAAAAAAAAACTGTTATTAAAGGAATGCCGGCGCGCACGTATGCAGGCATGTAAGCTTGTGTGTGTGTGTGTCTGTGTGTGCGTGGCGTTCTATGAAATGTTAGTAAACTTTTCTTTTAACAATTGTTGCCTCTCTTACTACAACAGTTATCGCAACGAAAACAAAAACAAAAATATGAATAGAAATAAAACGTAACTACGACGCAATTCCGTTTACTCACACTCTTTTTGCCATGTTCTTCGCATCTCTTAACGCAGATTTGCTTTATGTTTGTTCATTTTTGGGCTTTTGTCGTTTACAGCTTAAATGGGGGTTGCTTGCGGCATTTGGCGTGGCAAGGACCAAAACAACGACGTAATATATGTATGTATGTATATCGGCATATACATATACATATATGTACATATGTATATTTATATCCCGAATTTTAACTGACGTTTATTTCCGCATTCCGCGCACAAACTGCGCAACGGACACGCGTACACCCGAAAAGGAACTGCGCTGCGATCAGTTAAAGGTGCCGCTGCTCAATGTCGTCGCCGTTTGGACTCAGACCGCATGGAAAGCCCAATGGGTACGTGCGTGTATGTGTGTGTTGTGTGTTTGTCGTTGCTGCTGCGACGTCGGCGGTGGCAGCGCTTATATCTTCTAGTATTCGCTCTCGCTGCACGCTCACTCACACTCTCATCTAAGTTTCGTTAAGTTTTCGACGTTTCTTCCTGTTCCTGTTGTTCTTCCACACTTCCACACCACCATGGTTGCCCTACTGCCCCACACACCGATGTTGCCTTTGTTACCATCACACAACACGTCGTGGCCTTCAGCCGCATTTCTATCTATCTCTCTCTCTCTATCTCTCTCGCGCGCGCTTTTACTCTTTCGCTCTGTCTCTATTTTCTGCTTTTCTCTGCTGTTCTGCTGCTCAGCCGTTGTCATTCTTTCATTCATATATTTTACTTGTCCCTTGCGCAATGTTGCCAGTTGGCGTTTGGCGTTCTTTGCTTATTATGTATGTATGTATGTGTGTTTTTATATTTTTTATCCGTATGCGTGTGCGCATACGCTTCATTTGTGTTGGTGTTCACGCTTTGAGTGTGCTTTTTGCGCTCCGCTTCGTAAAATGTTTTTGCTTTTTATTTGGCTGTCTATGGTTTATCTATGCCTGTGTGTGTGTATGTGAGCTTTACTTTTGCTTTTTGCGGCTGCTTCTTAGTTTCTGTTGTTCTTTCGCTGCATGTTGTTTGCTGCCCTTTCTGCACGAGGATTACACGCAATAGAGAAACTTGCAACACGATCTTGTAGTATTTAAATACATTTATGTATATATGTACATATAAACATATGTATGCATAAATGTGTCGTTATTCGTCAAAACTGGATTCACAGTCTTTATATGTACAGACATGCATACATATGTCCATATGTATGCATAGAGCTTTGAAGTAACTGGCATTCATGTGTTTCAATTCTGTTTCATTCCAGAACAATAAAGGTACGCACACACATACACACATGCATACTTGGTGTACGCCACAAGAAGTGCAGCGAATTCAGAGTAAACTTAGGCAGTCTAGAGTCGTGAGCGTGTCGTGCTTTTTACCAGTCACGAGAAAAATCACGAAATAAATTTCTCAAATTTCAGAAATAATAATTCTAGAAACTAAAACGCGCATTGCGCCTGGTTGCTTGATATAAATAATTAAATTCATTCTTAAGAGGGTTCCAGAATATAGAGAAGAAAATATCGCTATTTAGTAGGTGCCTTAAAATAGTTTGGATTTTATGAAAATCAACTTTTTTTTTAGCAACTATTTCATTTCAAAATAAAAAAAACTTCATGAAAACATACAAACTTCAATGAAGAAATGTATTTTTAAAATTTTTTGTTTTAATGGTATAGAGCTTCAAGAAATAATAATAATTCGCAAATTAAAATCAACTTTCGAATATTGTTGTGATTGTATTATTATTATTATATTTATTTATTTTTTGACATTGCATAAGAATGATTTTATTTATATATTATATATATATAATAAAAAAATTCATAAGGAAACTCGAAATTAATCGATATGCATGCTATTCTGTATACATATATAGAGTTCCTTAAGAAATCATATACTCCATGTGGAAGATTGCCTTTCTTATAATACCTATAAAAACTCTTATATTATATATAGTACAATGGATCTTGAGATGATTTTGCGGTGCTTGTTGCACTCAAAACCGAAAATATGTGTCATTAATCACATTTTTTAAGCAATTACTACGTTGTTTTTATATAAATTGGAATATATTCAAATCCTTACCTGCTATAATAACGACAGCCATATGGCGGAAAACGTTTTTCCTCCTTTCGCAGCAATTTTCACACGGGTTTTCACCTGTATTTGGATGATGCAATGTTTTTTGTACTTTCTTTCGTTTCATTTTCACTGACATTTTTTCGCATGCATCATTTAAAATTTTCGCATACAAAAGCAGAACGGAATCACATGTTTGACACGTAATACCCGCAGGTGAGATTCAGATGGATAAATACTTATATATACAAATTTTCTTTCACCATATTCTTTTTTCGTTTTCAGATTTTGTTTACTTTCATTAATTTTGCTCTGCTTTTCCGTAAAAATGTGAAATTGCACTTACTGACAATAGAAAATATACGAAATATACATACATAGTTAAAGTACAATTGGAATTTATTGTTGTTATTTTTAAGCAGTCACCAGTTTTGCGCACTTCTCAAATGAATTTTAGGTTTTTTTTTTGTGTTTGCACAATTAATTTGTTATTGTTGTTTTGTGTTTTTTTTTTAACTTTTATTGTGACTTTTTGGGTTTGTCAAATTGAATTTAATGTGATCGTTGATATCATTTGCGTGTCTAATTATAATTACTATACATTAAAATTCAGCTTAGTTTTTTTTTTGTTTTTGATTATTATATTCAACTCCTGTCGCCATTGTGCACTGATTTCTGTTTTGGACTGTTGGGAATGGTACGTTGTTCGCTGCTCGCCTGTCGCGCTTTCAATGCCAAGCACAGCAGAAAGTGCCAGAGACACAGGCCTTCGATGTTGTCGTCGCTGTCGCTGTCGTCGACGTCGTCGTCGTCGTCGTCGCCGTCGCCGTCGTCGTTGCTTGTCGCCGTCGTCGTTGAGCCGAACGGCTTTGAGGCGAATTTAGAGTCTAAATTTTAGCGTACACCAACTGCAGCTGTGGGGGAGCACTCGCCTGCATGTGTATTTTCAGAGTGCATGCGTGTGAGTGAGTGTGTGTGTGTGTGTGTGTGTGTGTGTCGCTGAGTCAGCCGGAGCGCAGCCAGTGCCAAACACGAACCAGGCGAGCAGCCAGGCGACCCAAAGCTCAGCTCAGTGCGGTTCAAGTTCAAGGATGTTATGCAATAAAGCGCATACAAGAGCAGGGCAGCTGAAGAGTAAAAGCTACATATACATGTACATTTATATTTATATATACACCAACACCAAGCACATGCACATATCGTATGTACATACATATGTACATTTGTCGAGTGAATGCATATAAAGGAAGCTGCTGCTCGCTCGCACCAATACCAATTCGCTGCTGATCTCACACACAGGCTCACATACTCGCTGCTGCTGTTAACTTGTGCAGTCTACCCTGACCGCGCCTTAGTTACTGTTACATATGTACATATGTACATAAGTACATATATAGTAGTGCTTGTATATATGTACATATATGTATGTACATTGTGTGCTCTGGGCCTGGGCTAACCGGGCTGCAATTGTATGTATGTATATAATTAGCGCATTTACTGACTAACTACAGCAGCAACAACAGCAGCAATAGGCGCTTATGTATACACACCCACACATACGTATATATACATATATATTTGCTCACAGACAAATGTGCGTGTGTTGCAATTCGCGAGCGTCTTTGCCCTTTTGGCACCCTTCCCCCCTTTGAATTGCTTAATTGAATTTGTTTGAGTTTGTTAGTGTGCGTGTGTGTGCTTATATACAGTTCTACACGTATATATATGCACGTTCGAGTGTGGGTATTTAAGTGCGCCACGCTCTTTGGCTTGTTTGTTTAATTGTTTAATTTAATTAAATGCTACAACTGCAACGTTCGCATCGGGAAACTGAGTATCTGTATCTATACAGACCTGTATCTGTATCCGTAGCTGTATTTGTATGTGTACCTGTTTGTGCAACAGATGATATTGCAAGCCTTCGCTTTTATAGGTTAGTCAATCTGCTGCTGCTGCTGCTGCTGCGCTGCTTTCTTATGTCATGCGCAGCGCAGTCTTATTAGGGCTACCAAATACACACTCAATGGCACAAGTATATGTCCATTTATAGCTACCGCTGAAACTACAGCCGTAGATGTCCACTTGAATACCCCAGTTGAACTTTTTATTTCAATAAAAAAGATATTTCGACACCATTCGAACTTTCCCCTACACAATTTGTTTTTAAATATCGAAAATATCCTCTACAATATATGTTCAACAATAACTTTAAAAACGCGTGTGACAACGATCTAAAAGTAAACATCAAATATTGCTTCGAACCGTTTTCCACCCATTTTTCACATTTTAAGAAGGCATTTGCGTAAGGGAACTACCGTAAAATAAATCATCATTGCCTGATATGTATGTTCCCCTATTTGTACTTGCCGCTGACATTGTTAATATATTATTAAGTAAAAGCTATAAAAAATAATTTAAAACGCATTAAATATAATGGAATTATAGCGGTTTTTAAGCTAAATCTTATTTAATACTATTTTAAACAAGCTAAAATTCAGGGCATGAAAGTTGCTCTTCTATTTCCATGCGCATTCGCAAATGGAATTTTAATTATTCAAAAATATTAACAAAATTTATTATTGATGTTTATAATTTTTCTAGTCTTGCAATTTCAGCAGGGTATGTAATAAATTACGTATACGTATGTACTCTATACAGCTATCTACATTTGTAACAATAACGTCTTGTTCTATACATACAGAAAACAACAAAAAGCATATGAGAACTGTTTGCTTTGAGTCACTGTGACCATCGCCACAGACAATAAGTAAAGTTGAGTAGTGAATAATATGAAATCCCCTACTAAAAACGTGAATCTCTGAAACCAACTGTTTGTTTAGTCAAGTCAAGTTCTGTAGTCGTGTAAAATAAAGTATGCGCCCAATCTGGTAATCTGTAAATTTCCTGATAAACAGGGCTATGCAAAAGTAAAAAAAATTAGCCAAAAATATTTGTTTACTATACAAAATTGGCATAAATAATATTTTTATTTTGTATACAAAGCAAGCAAAACAATTTGTTGAGGTGGGAAATGACTGCTGAAAGCGGGAAACTTGGCTCAGCGCGATGTGTGCACATTCATACACACCTACATGTGTATATATAGAGAGCAATACATATGAAAGTCCATATTGACTATTTTCATATCTATTATAAATTCTGTGTATACGTTGGGAAAAGTGAAAAACAAGCGAGCGCAATTTGCGAACGTGATGAAATAGTGACTCGGGCGACGCAGTAGCATCGGTTCGCTGCGAGAGAGGGAGATGGGTAGGACTGGCTGCATACATTTCGCAAGCAGTGTAGACTGCTGGCTGTTGCAGCAAATTCGCCCTTTGCCGTCGCAGCAGCGCATGTCAAGAGTAGGTGACCTTGACAGTGAACTTGAAACAAATGCTACAAGGATTGTGCTGCTTTCTGTATGTATGTATGTATGTTTGATTGTGGAACAATGAAATGAAACGGCGAAACGGCATCGTAGGCGCTGCTAAACGAACTGAACGAAAATGACAACTCAGCGGGAGCGCACTCACCAAAGAGAAGAGCGCGAAAAACAAACAAACAACAACATGCATTTGAAAGCTTTGACGCTGCAGCTGCAGCTGTGTAGCATGGGGGCGGCCAACTGCGCGCTAGTATTTGTGCTTGTATTTGTACCTTATATGACTATAAAATACCATATTCACGACTCTCTCTCTCTCTCTCTATCTCCATCTCTCACGCGCGTTCTCTCTCATACTATGGCATGCTCTCTTGATGAATCATCGCTTCCGCGGCGAGAGCGACTTGTTGTCTGCAGTCGACATTTGAAATATGTGCCAGAAATTTCGCTTTCATGTTTCACTTTCGCAAGTGGTAAAGAGGGATGGGGACGATTTTTATGCAATGCTGCCAAGCTAACAGTAAACATACTTACGTGCATATACGTATGTGCTCGTTATGTTCGTGTGTGTGCGTGCCGCTCTGGATAATAAAATATGTAATATTCATTTCGATTTCATTCGACACTTGCAGCTTGCAGTTGCAATTGGAATTGGTCGAGTTTATTTCGTACTCTCAACTTTGGCATTTCACTTGTGTGCGTGCGTGTGCGTGTGTATGTGTTGTATGTATACCACAAAATTAACAGCCCTTCGCAGCTCCACCCCCAACCGCACTCTTAAAAACTGCATTTGCCTGCCACTTGCGTCAATGCCAACGTCAGCACTCGCAAAGGGCGTTGCAAGTTCAGTAACTTGGTTTACATGCAGCAAAACCGTTATACCTTAGGCTAAGGCTAACGGTCTGTTAAAGAAAGTTTGCTGCAATTACAGTGGTTGTCTATTGAAGATAAACAGCTGAAAATTATGAAAGAATTTAATAAACGACAATCTAAAAACACAAATCACAAATTGAAAAGAACCGCGGCGAATATACTTATGTATACTACATATAATCTATTTATAAATTCACTTAAAACGTTTTATAACGAATCAATAATTAAACATTTGCTCACACAAAAACAAGCCAACTGTAAATAGTAAATAAAAGCAGTTCGATGCTTTCCACTGAAACTTGAAATATTCGCCCTAAAAACACCTGACTCTTACGTACACGCCCACAAGAGCGACTGAAGCGAAATTTGAAACCAGCGAATATAGTAAAGATGCAAACGTAAGCAAATTGCGATAAGACTTGGACCCAAGCGAATGGTCAACATTTTTTGTATGCAATGAGAAATAAAGTTAATAAAGCTGGGAAATTGGTTTTACTAGGCTGCCCAGATCTCCGGGCAATGCAATTGGAAAGTTTTTGAGCTTTTCAAATTGCCGAAAAAAATATACATATATAAATAAAAACAAAATGCAAATGAAGAGCGCACTGCTAGACACTGCGCAGCAGAGTGCATGAGAGAACGTTCCTATGTATGCGTATGTACATATGCAAGTACGTATCTGTGTGCGAGTGTGTGTGCGATAACCTTGAGACTACTTTGAATTTTTAGCTGGGCAAAGCAGCGTGCATAACAGAGAGAGCGATAGCTATAGAGCGGGAAATGCAGGCGAGCAGGCTGCAGTTCGCTTTCTGCTTGCTGTTCTGCATGTGTTTGTATATACTTTAAGCTTTTCGCTTTGGCAAAATTTCTTGCGATGCCTCTTGTGTCGCACTCTATCGTCTGCGCGCTCGCTCATACACTGCCCCTCTCTCACACAACAGATTTTTGTTGTGCAAATGCAACTCACGTTCAAGGCCAGTATCAAAATGCATTAGTATAAGAGCGCACACAAACACAAACGGTCTCTCTGTACCTGTTTGTGTGTATTGGTGCGCTGCTGTCGTCAGTTGTCAACTGTATTTGCTTTGCTCTAAGAACGTCCAGATGAAAATAGATGAGAAAACTAATTCTTACATACATACATATGTATGTATGTATGCTATACTTTTGAATACACATACACTTACATATATACTTATACTTATATATATACATATATACATATACACTTACTGTATATACTATATAGATGCACTTATAATCAATAATTTACAGCTTCTTGGCCCTACTTATGCTCGCTATAAATTGTTCTCTGCGCTGGAGGTATTTTTTTAATATATGTATGTACATACATATGTATTTTGTTTTATGTTCTTGCTTTGTGTTTGCCAAGCCAAAGATAGTCTTTGATACAGTGAACTGTCTACAGTGGCGCATCGGAAATACGAACCTTAAGAAGTGAATAGAAAACAACTTATTTTTAAATATGCATACGTTTATTATAGCGTATTATAATTTATTAATAATTAAATTCTTTATTTTACTTAATTTGTCGTTTTCAGGGAAATTTCAATTTCTGTAGGTTCTCATTTCCGAGGAACTGAAATTGGTTCACCTCATCGAATTCTATTCAAATGCAGTCGTATCTAATCATTTTATAATATTATCTAATCTAATCGCCCTGCATAAATATGATGGAAACGAGTTTTCATTGCACTCTGATCGGCTTCAATTGAAATACATACATTTTCCATGCCTTCAATGCAGTTGCTGTCAAACTGTCGACTGCGATTGCAATGCAATCAGGCATGAAAATTACAGTAGTTGTTAAATACATATACATACATGTGTGTGGGAGTGTGGGGGTGTGTGGTTGTGTGTGTGTGTGTGTGGGGAAATTAACTACTTATTATAATAGCAAAATTGTCATTATTGTTGTTATATTTAT